ACTTCAACTTGTTCATGAATTCAAATATCTTGGGATTATATTAGATTCAAAACATACCAAAGTTAGGATAACTTATGGTCCATGCTTGTATACACGCCATAGGACGCTTGTGTGCTGTTGTTTTTCGAAAATGATGTCCGTCATTTGCGTCTTTGATCTTCCGTTTATGTAGCATACAGAGTAACAGCAACACTAAAGCTGAGGTAAATTTGGTCAAAAACAGACCTGCAGATGCCTGTAAAGCCACAGCTACATACATCTGCCGCCACCGCCGCCATCCTAAAACATCACTTTCAAAAATCTGATGATGGCAGACCATGCCATTTTTTTTAAACATTTACTTAATGGTCAACTTAGCATTGCAAAGTTATTTACATTGAATTATTCGGCTATTTACAAGGTGAAACAGCAGAGGCAGTGATAACTGCAGCATGTATTTATGTATGTACTGTATGTATTTGTGCCATAAGAATCAACTAAAATTATATTTTTTTTCTCATAAAGCATGATAAAACTCCACAAAAATCCCCTTTGGTCACAGATCCTCCTTGATTAAGCCATTGGGTCATTAGTTCTGTCAGACTAATGCTGTTCCTCACAGATGACAAACTCCTGTCWTTAAACTGTTTCTTATTAACAACTGGCTACAAACTCTGACCAACACAAAAAAAGCCTACTTGTTGAAACAGATTTGTTTTTGTGGCTTTTATTGTAACTGGAGTCTGATTATGTTGAACCTTGCTAGTAGCACATACTTTGAAGGGACAGTTCAGATCTTCTGAACTCTGGCTTTTCTTTAGGAGATTATGAACAATTAACATATTACCTGTCATAGATAGCTCTTTTGGTGGTGTCAGGGCCACAATCCTGCATGTTTTATTTGTTTCTCTGCTCCATCACACTTGATTCAGTGATTAAACTACAGTAYCTCTTTTTAAATTCTGTAGGAACCTGTTAATCACCCGTTAATGTAAACCAGATGCGTTAAAGCAGACTAACTTCTAAAACATGCAGGATAGCAGCCCTTAAAACATGTTTCTATTTAATATTTTACGTTTAATATAATTTTATTTTTTATTTGGTGWATCACTTACCCTAACATTAAGCTATTAGACCATAATAGATGCTGCTAGTGACAGTTCACTGATGTTAATTTGAACTTATAGACACTTTAATTCAGACTTTTCAAATCTTAATTAATAATTTTACGGAAGGGGAAAATGCTTGAGTAGTCAGCCAGCTCAACATTACTGTGAATGTGTTCTGCTCCAAGTTTTATGCAAAAAAAAAATCACTGAAGAGACCAAATTTGCTTCAGCTGCTCTGATTTAATAAGGACGTACAGAAATCGTGCTGTTTAGTGTTCATGTCTGGGTCTCAGGGAGAAAGGCTGGCAGATGTGAGGAAAGAACAGACTCAATGAAAAGAAGAGAAATGCAGCTCATATTCATGYATTTTAAAGCCAAAGATAATTAAAGAAACTTCCATCACGATCAGATCAGACAAAATGATTGGTTTCTGGCATGTCGTTAAGAAAACAAGCACAGGATTGTAAAGTCRTTCTGATCTTGTAACCTTATGACTGTAATTTGTTTTGTGTCTTGACTGAACTCTCCCACTGTCTTCACCCTCTTCCTGCAGCTGTCATGAGACGCTCTCATCAGSTTTTTATGAGCCTGTAAATAAGTGTGAAGTGTGGAGCCATCGACATGTCAGCGCAAGATAGACAGCAGTTAAATGGCACTTAAAAAAATGCCAACCCATTGACTCCTGTTTGCCCTAACAAATTCAGAAAAAAAATTTTATTTTAAATTACACTTTTGTATGATATTCACCCTGAACACAAGCAGGGATTTATGATGTCAGACATATTGTTGCCAAAGCTTTTTATAAAAAAAAATGTGCTGAAGAAACAACTACACAGTAAGACACAGTAAGCTGGTAATAAAATTGGTAAAAGGAGACATACACATCCGGTATAACAGTTCAGAGATTTTGGCGAGAGTATYATCAAAATTAACAGCTATTACAGCCACAAGTTGCAATTTTTTTATCTTTGTTTCTCATTAATTTTGTGTTTACTTCTGTTCCCCATTTAGATCCACCCCATGATCCCAACACAGCTCAACACAACACCTGCTGCACATGTCCACACAGTTATCTAAAAGGAGAAAACGGGTTTCCCCACCTTCTGTTTTTATTTGYACACCTGCCCTTCAACAGGTTTGTAGAACTCTTTACTAACCGGTCATGTTTTGCAGTTGCGACTCAACTTGCAGGCAGACAACCTCTTGACTCGAACGTTAATCTTCAAACCAAACGTGGCCAGAACAAACACATGCAGATGATAATGATAAAGCAAAGAGCAGACCAATACACGAGAGCAACAGAGACGAGCGTAACGAACCCAAATAAGCAACACCTGTGCAGAAACAATCAGAGGCAGGTGTGAGTGGGCGTGGCAGAACAGAGGAGCATGAATCAAGCAGGGAAACAGACTCATCAGAAACATAACATTACCAAAATTCATGGTTATCAGGTAAACAAAAGCAATGATTTTAACATAACCATCAGAAAAGATAAGTTAAGAAGTTGCTCATCTTCGAGAAATACAAGAGCTTTTCAGTATACCAGTGGGTTGAGTCC